GGACCTAAAGACTGTGGCCAAAAATCACTGACAAGGTCTGTTTCTCCTCCAACAGCAAAAGTAATAGTCCATCAAGACCAAATATACCTTTTGCATTTGGCTCTCTGATTTTTTTCTGTAGACAGAAGAGGAGGACCTAGGAAAAACTGAGATTGGAACTGCCTACTGTTAAGAAAACTGAGAATCTCAAAGAATACCAATGGAATCTGTAGGAACAGGGGAGAAAACAAAGCTAAATGATGTCTGGGGGTGATCCGGACCTCTCCTTGAGGACGCCAGAAATCATGTTTGTGTTTAGGTCGATCAGTATTGTCTCATGTAAGATAAAAGGTATATGAGTTTGTGGTAGACTCCAGAAAACTGATTTATTTACTTGAGTGACTTACTGAAATAAGACCCGAAGTTTTCTTCTGACAGCCAGATCATAATCAGAAGCCATGCTGTTTCCTGATGGTGAAATATCACAGCCATAGGGGTCTGGAAAGAGTCAGATCAGTATGATCCATAATTCTCCCCAGAAGGCAGGCCCAGTTTTCTGGTGAGAGTGGAATCAGAAAAATCATGTTAGATGTATTAAAATTTTAATGGAGCCAAACCAAGATAGCCTGCTATATCTACTCCATAATGGTAATGACTTTGTCAGTGGGCCCAGAAATATTAAAGTCCATTGGCTTACGATCCTATACCCAGGGGCACCTGGGTGGCTCCATCAGTTCAGCATCTGCCTTCAGCTCAGGTCATAATCCTAGGGTCCTGGGATCAGGCCCCTCCTTGGGCTCCTTGATCAGCAGGGAGTTGGCTTCTCCTTCTCCCTCTGCCCCTCCCCTGTTTCGTGCCCTCTCTCTCTCAACTAAATCAATAAAATCTTTTTAAAAAATCCTACATCCATCTCCACACTAAGGCCACATTTGATATCAGGTTTGTGATATTCAAGTCAAGGGGTTATCTCCCTCTCTTAGACTCTGCTTGAAGGGATTCTCCTAAAACCTGTCATTATAATTCTCTTTTATCCAAACTTTTAACAGCTACATTCCTCTGTTCTAAGAAGAAGTAGCTTGTGGGTCGAAGAGGAGAGGAGGAATATAAAGAGAAGAAAATGTGTGCAAAATTTAAGACAGACCCAAAAATTTGTCAAATGTGCACCATGTAGCAAAGATGTTTATACTCCTTTCTCATTTACTTCTTATAAAAATACTGTCTATTTCATGGATGAAAAAACAGAGGTTTATAAGGGTCTTGCTTATAGTCGGATAGCTAGGAGGTGACAGAACCATGATTTGAACCTAGATCCCTCTGACATCAAAAATTATACTTGTTCTCACTACACCAACTCTGCCTCTCCTATGGCAGTCCCCTTTTAATGTTTTTTCTCCGTAAACCCTGTTGAGTGGCTCTTACATCTCAAGACAGGTGCTTAAGAGAGAAGGGTTAGGATACAGTGTGCTAAATGTGAGAGGATTATGAGAAATCAAAGAATGCAAAGAAGGTAACACTGTTGCCTTGCAAGGGGACACAGATGTTCATGTGGGCTAGGAAAACTGCAATGAAGTGTGGCATTTGTCTTCCCCTTAGAGGAGGGGTAGGAGTTTTTCGGGTTAACGGGACAAACAGTTGCAGGGGGCCAGTATAGGGAAAGAAGAAGGGATTCAAGGTCTCGAAAGAACAACAGCAAATGTTGGAAAGCTTGAAGGTCCTGATTTTATGGGCTTCCATGGTACAGTCACTGAAAAGGCAGAAGGTGTCTTTGAACGTGTATTAAGAGGATGGGAGCCTTCACTGAGGGGAAACTGGATGAGAAAAATGGAGCCGTGAAATTTGTTAATGCTGTGGACACTTTCATTGACCCGAGAACAATTCAGAGAGGCTGGATGCCTGGCAGGGATGGTGGCAGAAGAGGGAGGGTCCCAGAAGAAAGACACGTGCAGATACGGCTCAGGCACCAACACTAATCTTCCTTTGAAAATCCTGCGAGAACTTCCTAGGCCTCTTTGTCTTCACCTAGAAGTCAACGGCAATTCACTCAGGCAGCAAAATTCTACCAATGACAGACCTGGTGGTGATGAGAGGTGCACATTCTTGGGCAGGCTGTTGGGAAAGAGGAAGGAGAAAGGCTTTCAAATATTCACGCTCTGTGCTAAGCGTTAAGAAAGTGCCCCGATTAAATTAAGGGCAGAAGAGTTTTGATAGTGATCATCTTGGTCATCACACCCCTGCACCCCCTTTTCTAAGTGCTTTGGGGAGAGGGAGTTGCGGATGCCCCCTAGAAGGCTATGGAGAGTTACTTCCTGGACTAGGAATTTTCCTAGTTTCTGCCCTAACAACTATTTTCTTTAGTAGGAAAGACCAACTCTTTCCTCTTCACAGTCATATTCCCAAATACATTATATAGTGGAGCTTGGGCTTTGGCCCGAGAACAGGTTATTTCAAGGACTGGCCCCACTACTTATGAGCTGTCTGTTCTTGAGCAAGTTAATTTACCTATCAAATCCTCACTTTCCCATCTGTGAGATGAGAATGATGGATAGTACTTGCTTCACACGGTCTGTGTGAGGATGCAATTAGATGAGGAGAGCCAGGATTGATGGAAGGCTTAAAATATTTCAGACACTCTTCTTTCAAAATGCTTTGCGAGCCTTCACTCATTTGACGTTTGATACGATGACCCTGTAATGGCAGGTAACATTATTATGCCCACTTAACAGATGAGGAAGCTGAGGATCCAAGAGGTTAAATAAGTTTCCCGAAGCCACACAAGTATCAGACCTGGGATAAGACCCCAGAGCTTTGGGGGCACCTGGGTGGCTCAGTCATTAAGCGTCTGCCTTCGGCTCAGGTCATGATCCCAGAGTCCTAGGATCGAGCCCCGCATCAGGGTCCCTGCTCCGCGGGAAGCCTGCTTCTCCCTCTCCCACTCCCCCTGTTGTGTTCCCTCTCTCGCTGTGTCTCTCTCTGTCAAATAAATAAGTAAAATCTTTAAAAAAAAAAAAAAGACCCCAGAGCTTTGGACTGCAAAGGTCACACTGTTTGGCTACCATGTTATACTGACTCTCAATGAGTATAAAGTATTTGGGCACATGTTCTGGAAGATATGATCACAGAATAAAGATGAGCCAGCTTTTAGAGAGCCTGGCTTTGTACTCGAGCCCCAAGTCCAGCATACTCCTTAGTATTAGAATTTCAAAAACTTCATCTTACCTTGATGACCCCCCCTTTTTTTTTTTGACACTTTAACTGATAGTCACTTCCTCACAAATCCTAGTTGCTATATGCAGGTAAAGTATTTACTCTTTCCGTGATCTGGAGGGATCTGAGGAGTGGTATACCTTTCCATTACTGTTTTAAAACAATTTCATTCCGACCTATGGAAAATAGAAGTCGGCATATCAGGCCCTCACAAAAACTTTGCCCTGCTGTGTTTTCACCACGTTTTTTGAAAACATTCCCCCAGCTCAAACAAATAAAAGATGTCATTTTCCATGGTGTAACCAACATATACCTGGATGTTTCTTGGGGGTGCATAGTCATGTCAGTACCCGTCCATTCTGGTTTTATCAGCCGTTGTCCTCAAAAGCGATCTCCAGATGTTGTAAACATTAGAATCTTGAGTTTTGATGGGCTGCCATTTTTGTTTTCCATTTTGAAAATTTCTGTCAAAGGTCCCAAGTGTGAGTGAGGAAGATTACCTTTCGTCCAAAACCTACCAACTTATTTCCATGCTGAAAAAAGCTGACATGTAGAAAGCTCAGCAAGGATGTCAGGTTTGCCCTCACATATCTATCATGGTTTGCAAAGCATGTGAGCTGGCTCTTGGCAAAACCCTGAGGAGGGGAACTTCTCCAGCTGTAGCTCTAGCCTGCCATCCCTCTCTTGAATTTGGCACTTAATGAATCGGTCTTTGGCTTGTTTGCATCTCAGAGTCAGGCTGGAATAAGCTTCATTCTCAATGTAGGGCTTTTCAGTTTTGTCTCTAGTATTTCCTTTGCAATAGAAATTTTATTAACATTCATAAATAAAGTTTTCCACATACTGTCATCTATCTCTCTTCCACCTAACTTATCCCAGATTTTCTGGGGATTGTCTGAAAATGATTCACATTGTTAGTGAACAATTTCCACATTGTTCTTCCTGGTCTCTAAACAGAACCCTGCCCTTGCTGAAGTCAATGAGAAAGACAGGAATTTGTCCTCTTTTGGTCTCGTTAAACAAACAAAACAAAGGAGCCATTAAACGATGTTTGCCATCCGTGGTGGTCAGATCTCTCCTCTTAGAAGGTTGTCACTGCTTAGGAAATGGTGCTGCACTTTCTAAGAGAAAATTAGCACCTTGCAATAAAAAAATTTAAAAAAAAAATAGCACCTTGCCTCAAGAAGTAGCAGGATGAATCTGGACCGCATGCCGAGAGCCATTTTGGGGGGATTAGATTGTCTGATGCCACTGGGTCACCTGGTCATTTAGTGGCTTTGGCTTGAAAATCAGATATATTTGTGCCGACCAGCCCTTTGCTTTCTGACATAAGCCTTGGTTTCAGGAAAGATGGAAGTCAGCATTGGGTGCAAGATGAATACGTATGAGGTATTACTGGGGGTGGGAAGGGGGGGAGGTGTGAAATTGCCACCTGCACTCAAATAGCCCATACAAAATTGCCCCCAGTTAAGAAAGACTGCATCAAGCGGATGATGAGACAGGCCTGGAGAGGTCAAGCAGCTTTCTTAAGGTCTCTCGGCTGGTAAATAGCAGAACTGGGACTACAGCGCTCTCCTGAGTACAAAGTGTTCGTCTCCTACCCGAAGCGAGGACTGCATGCAACCATCCTCTTCTCTCTTTTCCGTCTGAATCGTATGTCTCCTGGGCATTTGCTTAGTGTCCTGTATGCACACCTGCATGCACCCAGGTCCAGCAGATATCCGTTACTATTTCAAAGCACTCTTTTAATATATATATATATATATATATATATATATATATATATATATATATAGAGAGAGAGAGAGAGAGAGAGAGAGAGAGAGAGAACGCTCTCACATTTGCATGACATCCTTGCTCAGGGACCATGCTAATCTCTGAATTGTTCCGATGTTAGTATATGCACCGTGGAAGCAAGCACTGTTTCAAAGCACTCATAAAGTAACTTTGCATTGCTTCTTAGACACCATCAGATGGGAAAGGTGGAAAATGAAATTAACACTTGTGTCATTACAGTAGCTGTCCCTGAGCCAGTAGGTACATTTAAGTGGGGTATTGTGGTCACAAATATGAGTTCAAACTTGGAGTCCCCATTGCAGGCAACCCCTCATTTCCTAGCGGGGCTTGGCTTATCACTGCCCAGGCTCTATCTCTGGTTTGGCCTCATAGACCATCCCAGTCTCCAAGGGAGAAATTAAACAATGCAAAAAGGCTTCTTACCCATGTGCTGTTGTGAAACAGAAATGACACGTAGAGCCTGGACTAGCCAATTCCATCTTCTGTTTTCCTTCCCATCCTGTAGTCATTATCAAAACCTCCAAACTCCGGAGCTTCAGCCTCTTCTTGTCTGAAACAATTAAGCCTCCAGGAAGATGTGGGAATGCTAATAGATTTAATGTTGTGTTTCATTCACTCCTGACTGTTGACATCGACTCTTCATGCTCAGCAACATTTTCTTCATTACTTCATAAACACATGAATATTTATTACTGTGGGGGAAAACATGCTACTGTTCACAATGACTGCAGCTGAAAAAATGGTAATAAACATGAGCAATTAACAGGACTCGGGAGAGGAAGCCATTCAGGAATGGTAAACCAGGGTCTGTGGAATGTTACAACCAATGTCATCCGAAGACCAGCTAAAAATGTGAGAGACGTGCAAGAGGACGTTGTGTTGGCAGAAAATAACCAAGGGGAGTTTTAGATTATAGTGTGTAATTAGTGTGTAATTAGCATTTGCATAAATATTCATACTAGCGTATTTTGTGGATCGTAGTAGCATGGATCCAAAACACACTCGGGCGCGCACACACACACACACACACACACACACAGCTAAATAGACTAAAAAAAAGTATATTTGTGTCCTCATCATTTAAGATCTGCCTCCACACTCATCTCCTTGGCTCAATCTTCCCTATTTCCCCTACAAAAAGCAGCTGTTTGTTCTCTCAGACCTGGACGACTCTCCTCTGTATATAAATCTATTACCCCTCTTGACTCCAGACCCCTCCAGACCCTCGGTTTAGCTGGTTATTTCTTCCACAATGCCTGGTGAATGCGTGTATGTAGTAGACAGTCAATACATGATGGCTGGGGGCACCCCGGTGGCTCAGTCGGTTAGTCGTCTGCTTTCAGCTCAGGTCATGATCCCAGGGTCCTGGGGTCGAGTCCCGCGTGAGGCCCCCTGCTCAGTGGGGAGCCTGCTTCTCCCTCTCCTCCCCATTCATGCTCTCTGTCACTATTTCTGTCTCTTTCTCTCTCAAATAAATAAATACAATCTTAAAAAAAATACATGATGGCTTAATGAACAAAGATTGGTCAGGGGAAGAATTACACGGTTCGGGGTTCTTTAACTAACTGGTAACCTGAACCAGGCACTGGCTGTGTTAGGCACTGAAGAACATCTCAGAGAAGGTTTGGCCTTTTCTTCCTGGTGGTCTGAGGTGATGGATGGGACCACCTGATTGCAGTAGATTGATTCAATTAGTCAGTCAGCCAGCACGTTCTTTCCTCAGTTCTCCCATGTGCCAGACATTTGCCAGACCTCTGAGGGCACAAGTAGAGACGTTAACAGGCATTACTCTGCGGTGTCATTAACCTTGTGCTTGATGTATGTTCAGGATTTTTAGAAAACAGAAGAAGGGATTCTTACTCAACCTGGCGGTCAGTCAAGACTTCCCAGGTCGTGTGAGCTGAGTCTTGAAGGGCAAGTGGGAGTTCCTGGGGTGGGCATTCGAGGCAAAGTTCAGCATGAGCAAGTTTTGGAGATGGACGGAGAGCCGTGACGGGGTGTGGCCAGTGGTTGGCATGGCTGGTGCAGGGGTGGCATTAGGGCCTAGGGGCCACTGGGGAGGGAAGGGCAGTGTCCATCGGAGGAGTCATGCAGGTTTAGGTGGCCTGAACTGAGGCTGTTCAAGGGGTCAGGGAAGAGGAGGTGGCAGGGGCAAACCTTAGGGACTCAGAGTGTGAGCTTCAGCAGCTGAGGCCAAGGGATGGGCTCACCCCTGACCCGATTCTCCGGAATCTTCAAGGATGGAGTGCAGATGCCTTAGCATGTGTCCATCTGTAAGTGGAGTGCAAGCTCAGGGCCGAGGGGTGCTCAGGATGCAGTCTCCTTCAGGGTTAGACCTCTCACATGGTCCCCATCAAAGAGGAAGTAGCAACGGCACTTGGTTATTTGTGTGGAAGGTCACAGGTGCTTTGAATTATACATATCAGGATGTCAACATCATCTTTTTAAGGAGCTTACTCTTTTTCTCTTGGACTTGTTCTTTGATTTCAAAGTCAACTCTGTCTAATTGGTTGCTAAGATTGTCCTTAGCATTCAGTTAGGGTTGAAACATTACATTTTACTATCCAAATAATTGGTGAGTTAAAAAATACTTCCAACAGTTTATGACTCATACTTTTCAGCTCATAGATGAGGAAAAACCAAAGGTGGGTGACTGTGAAGGCCTGTGATTTCGGTACAGGCTGAAGTTCCAGTGAGTTCTAAATGTGATTTCTGGCCTGTTAGGAAGGCCCTGACACTCCCAAGTCATTCCAGACTTGCTGGCTGTGCCTGAAATTAATTAGAGCCACATCCACTGGATTCAGGGATTACTTGCAGTGATATAAAGCATTTTAAGTTCCTATCAATCATACAGTTTATGTGTTTGAATGATCTGAGAGTATAGGTTTCGACTGGCAGGAGTCGAGGTTGAGAATAAGGGTTACAGGATGAAGGGCGACGCACAAGATTTCCCTGTTTTGCAATTTTATCAGATTGATTCAGTTTGGTTTAACTTGACAAATATTTATGCAAGATGGGGTGCAGTGCCGTATCCTCAGGCCATCAAAGATGGACCTCACATGCTCCTTGCCCTCGGTGAAGTTTCTGGCCTTGCGGGACACTAAGATGAGTAACAAGTAACGGAGATGAGCTTATCACGTGATAAGACCAGCTGCTAAAGGGGCGCAGAGGGTGGAGAGTGAGTAGGTATGTGTGTTCAGGTAAGAGAGGTCATGACTTGGGGAGATGGGGAACTCAGGCCACATGGTGCGTTCACGGAGCAAGAAGGCTGCATTGACAACAGCTCAGCCAATACGGAAATGGGACCTTTGGCAGGTTATGCGGACCTCAGATTTGGCTTGCTCATCTGCAAATTAGGGATGATGAAGTTTCCCCTTCTCGCTCAGAGGTTTGTTATGAAGGTCAAACGAATTACCTAATGTTAAAGAACTTGAAATTCATCAAGGGTATATTTCAGTATTTAATCGTTAGCAGAATCCGAATTGGAACCCAGGTTATTTGATTTAACCCCGGAGTCAGTAAGCCTTGGAGCCTTTCTGAAACTTTTTCCTTTTTTTTCCTTTTCGTGGGACTTTGCTTCATCGGAGAACTCTTTGTGGTTGCTGTAGGCAGCTGCGTGTGTCTCTTGAGTCCCAGAGGAGGGTGGAACGAGGACAAGGGAGATGATGACACTGGCAAGTGTGGGTGAAGAATTCTAAACGCTGTGAGTCAAATACAATTCCCGGGACTCTGAAGATGCGTGGAACCTCTCGAAAGACCGCCTTACACTCTGCGTTGTAAATTGCACAGTGCGCTCCGTGGGCCTGCTCTCACGTGGCCAGTCCCATCCTAGGACTGGAGACGCTGAGAACACTCAGGAGGCCTTCTTAGGGGATGGGTCTTTCAGGCCCTGCCTTCATGGGGTCTGACGTTGCAGGATTTAAGTGGTCATGAAATGAGGGACCTAAGCATTGACTCTATTCAGGGAATCCATCATGGGAAGCCTCCCCGGTAAGGCTATGGTTTGAGCAACTTGGAAAGCTGATGGGAAATAGGCCAATCAGGCTATCCGAGTGTTTCGAACAGTTTTCCATTTGTTCTGCTTCAGATCAGTTATTGATGATTTTTGTGGCGACTGAAAATTGACAGGTGTCAGGGAAGGCTCCATGATTTTCCCTTGTCCCAGAAATCACAGGAAAGAAACATATGTGTCGACTGTGTCGATGGTTTCATATCTAAGTTATGGCCCCTGTCCAACTAGATTCTTGTCCTGATTTCAAGCAGCAAGCATTCGGATAACAAGGGCTCCTTTCTGAGCAGGTCCCACGTTTTGTTAGAGACCACTAGGAGGTGTGGGAGGCACAAACAGATTCCTGTTTAACTTCTTCAATCTCTCTATTGTGGGAACATGAGAAAACGAGATCTGACGACCTGCAACTACTCACTGAGGAGAAAAGAGCCACCACAGAAACAAACCCACACCTCACATCCCCTCTGAAAAGCTTCCTGCGGCAAAGCCAGCCCGAAGCTTACAAGCCGGGGTCGGGGCCGAGAGGGAAACTTCCCTCCCCCTCTTTGGGTTGGTTGGTAGTAGCCTGCTAAAACCCTGGCTCCTTTTATCATTCCTTCCTTTTATAGTTTCTTCAGGAAAGCCCCGGGCCTCTGAGGCTGCCTTCCACCCCCGTCGGAGATTTTAAATGTGAGGACAGGAAATGTTTGCTCGGCTTCGTCATTTTATGACACGGTTGCCCACTCCTCCTCCCACACACCCTCACTGGGTGCCTCCTGAAAAGTTCTGCCAACGTGAAGCCACTGTCTTTTAATGTGGCTTTGGCTGAACTTGTACTCTAGGAAGTGGGTGTGGCAGGGCACCCCTGTCTCCGCGAGGCCAGCCACTTCTGAGAGCTGAGCTCATCCACACAGGCACTGGGAGGCCCGAGGGCACCAGGCTGCCTCTGCAGGGCAGGTGGCAGCTCCTAAGACCAACGCTGTACTTTTGGCCATAACCACTACCTGCCTCTTGAAAGACGGGCGTCCCGAGAAACAGTGATCATACGCTGGTGATGGGCGTGGTATTTGCCAGATGATTATCTAGAAAATGACAGAATGTTTGGAAGGAAATATATATATATATATATATATAGA